CAGATCGCTTCAGTCAGAGCTTCTTACTATTACCAACAAACAGCGGCAGCGGCTGACGCTAACAAGCCCAGCACTTCCGAGTGCTTTACGCGCGCAGGGTGGTTTAACTCCATCTCCCTCCACACCAGCCCCCCGAAGGGGCTACCCCACCCCCAGACCATGCTGGTTTAACTCCATCTCCCTCCACACCAGCCCCCCCAGACCATGCTGGTTTAACCTCCATCTCCTCCACACCAGCCCCTGAAGGGGCTACCCCACCCCCAGACCATGCTGGTTTAACTCCATCTCCCTCCACACCAGCCCCCCAAAGGGGCTACCCCACCCCCAGACCACGTTGGGCTAACTCCCTCTTCCTCCACACCAGCCCTCCGAAGGGGCTACCCCACCCCCAGACCACGTTGGGCTAACTCCCTCTCCCTCCACACCAGCCCCCCGAAGGGGCTGCCCCACCCCAGACCAAGCCAACAAGGCAGCTGCACAAGGACACGCTGTACCTCACCAGCGCGAAGCTGTGGCTGTGGTCAGATGGCCCAACAAAGGTTCAAGAAAAAAAAAAGCAGGGATGCAGGCTACCTGAGGCAGGCACGGTTTTCTGCCTTTTCCAGTGGTTTCAGGTCTGAGGAGAAGAAAAAGCAAGTGCCACAGACCAACAAGGGCTGCCGTTTCTCCAGCACTCCCTGTGCACCAAAGGGATGTGGGGACCCAGAGGTGTCCGTGACTCGCCCAGCGGGCAAGCGAGGAAGCTGGGTCACAGGCCACGCACTGGGGTTCCGCAGCCACATTCCTCATAACAGAATTCACACAAGCCTCTCGCAGGCATGCATCAGAAATAATCCGTCATTCAGATTCAATCTCAGTAGTTTTCACAACCATGACCGAAACCTCAAATACTGAATTAAGTGCACAGATTAGCAGAGATGTAGGGTCAGATGCTTATGTTTTAATCACAGACCAAGACATGATTAAAATAACAAAGTGATAGAGGGGGCCTGGCCTGCTCATACTTGAAATCCCAGGCAAATGCCCTTTCCAAAACGTCAGGCAGCCTTTTAGAAGAGAAACGGCGTTGGAAATGGTGACAGGTCCTGCTCTAGACCTGGTTCTCCCAGGGCAACCTGGAAGTGACAACAGTAAGCTCACTGTCCAGGCCAGACAAACTAACTTTAGAAACAAGAAAGAGGACTGTTCACTCCCAGGATCCCGGAGGGGAAGAAACAGCACCTGGAGAAAGAACACTCAGTTGTGGATTATCAGCCCTAGGGTCGGGCTAGCAAGGGCTAAGGCTTGGGAAATAAAACCAGAGTTCTAGGTACTGGCTTGGGTGAGTCGTCTTGTCTCTCAACCTGCTCTCAGCTATAAAACAGTAGCAACTGTACAGACCACTGTGGTGGTCAAATGAGATAACATATATAAAATGGCTGGCCACTCACTCCCTCAAGTGCCAAGCCCTTTCTGGGTGCCAGGTAAGTACTGGTGTGGTCCACCTCGGTCCAACTTTTCATTCCCAAGCTCCGTCTCCACATGGGACCAAGTTTTGAAGTCTCTTGGTTTAAACCAAGTAATAATGCCTGTCTTGCTGTGCTCGTCAGAAGTTGCAGCCTAACAGGTAAAATAAACTGCCCAATTAAGTGACAGCTGCCACCCTGGACAACCCTAGAAGGAATTTATTTATTTTTGAGGAGTCTCATTCTGTCACCCAGGCTGAAGTGCAGTGGCACAATCTTGGCTTACTGCAACCTCTGCCTCCCAGGTTCAAGTGATTGTCCTGCCTCAGCCCCCCCGAGTAGCTGGGATTACAGGCGTGCACCACCAGGGCCAGCTAATTTTTGTATTTTTAGTAGAGACGGGGTGTCGCCATGTTGGCCAGGCTGGTCTTGTACTCCTGATCTCAAGTGATCCACCTGCCTCAGCCTCCCAAAGTGCTCGGATTACGGGTGTGAGCCACTGCACCCAGCCCCCAGAAGCAATTTAGAACAAGGTTCTTCAAAGTTCTAGCAGCAGATCAGTTTGATTGGTCATAACAGCATTTTTAAAAATAATAAAACAATAAAACACGGTACATAAAGACAGTTAGCTTCAGCTTTACACCTAGTTATGTCAGTACAATGAGTCTCAATTTAAAGTGTCTAACTGGGGATAATTTCAAAAAAGTTTGCAGGCTGCCAGTTTAGAAGCACAGTTGCTCAAAGTCCCTGCTCTAGGCAGCTTATAAGGAATCACGGTGGGAAAGACGAGACCATACCAACACGGCAGGCGCACCTCACTAGCAGCCAACTTGTGGGGTGTGGTCTGATGACCCAGCTAAGGCTGAAGAAAAAAAGCACGGACGCAGGGTGCTGAGCAGAGCCCCAGTCTCATGCAGAGGCCATGTGCAAGAGACTCAGCAAGCAGGGCAAGAGGGAAGGGGCCATGTGGAAAAGAGGAAGCTAATCTGGAAGGGACCACGTGGGCCTGGCACTTTAGGAGACCCTCAACCTCGAACCCAGCAGGGCTCACTCCACAGGGGCAATACGATGCAGGCAGAGGCTCCCACACAGGTGAGACCGTGAGGCATGCCAGGAGGGGCGAGCCACACACTGTGGGAGGAAGGGCACGACGCCTGAGGCCAGGAGGACATGGGAAGCTTCCACAAAGGAGCCACTTGAGTGGACAGACAAGTAAGATGTGGGCTAGAGGCCAAGAGGAAGAGGCACTCTGATGGCAGAAGCAGTGGCCAGGAGACGCCCACAAGCAGGCTTCTTCATGTTAGCACCAGGACTTGAACCGGGAATGGTGCAGAGTCAAAGTTGTTTTGCTCCAGAAACACGCTACCCAGAGGTGTTGGGACAAGCCCCAGGAGACAGGGGAGAGCCAGATGAGAGACTGTGAGATATGGGGAGCCCTTCAGACGCATCCAGGGACAGGGTCTACATTCCACGTGTGATCTGCCCAGTGCTAAAGACAAGAAGAGCACGAGACTCCTGAATTAGGTTTAACATTAGTTTAAAAAGGGGGGGGGAAGCCTGCTTCAATGCACATTTGTCTTAAGAGGGAAAAGAAAGGATCATGATTCTCAAACAATGAAAAAGCATTCCTGAGCCTGGCACAGAGGTGCTGTGTCTGTGGTCCCAACTACTCAAGAGGCTGAGACAAGGGTCACTTGAACCCAGGAGTTCAAGGTTGCAGTAAGCCATGACTGCACCAGGGCAACACGGCAAGACCCTGTCTCAAAAAAAAAAAAAAAAAAGAAGAAGAAAAAAGAAAGTATTCCTGGTAGAAAGACAAGAAGGGTCATCAATGCTACTTATGAACTGGAGGAACACCACAAAATATAGCCAGTGATGTCAATAACCTGCTAGTAGAAGCTCCCTGACTTCCAGGAAGGTGGCCTCTGGCTCCCTGGAAATCTATTTTAGCTAGAAGAAGAAAGGGTCATCAGTCAAATCCTGTGCTTAAATCTCCGACTCCACTGTCTCCAGTATCAAGATTAACCCGTGAAAATAACCTGAGAATTTGGCAGTGCACCTGGAATAAAGCTGCCAAGGCAGGCCGGCCACCCGAGTGGTACCTATCAAAAGACTTGAACTAATGCCGCGACAGCACGGCCACCACATCTGCAGAGGCTGAGGACCTGGGGAAGCACTGGGGGACAGCAGCAGGCCTGGTCTGAGCCAGCACCACCAGCAGCATGACCTTGAGCTCCTCCTCCATCCCCAAGCCTGTTTCCTCATCTGTTACAACTGAAGATTAAATGAGAACGAGCATAAGGTGCACAGCCAAAGCAGGTGCCCAAAAATGACAGGAGTATGAGTGTCACTATATACTATGAAATTACTCTTCACAACATTCCACTCTAAGAGGGCTGCTTGTGGAAAAGGGCACGAGACTGAAAGTGTCCACAACACGGCTGGTCTCACACTTGGCCATTTGTAAAAGCAATTGTCTGGGAGTGGGGAGCCTAATTTAGAATCTGGGAGGGGCTCCGTTTTGCCATTTTGAGGGGGTATAATGGCCTGCACAGGTCTTACAAAGGTCCCACCTTCCAAAAGGTAGCCCCGGGTAACCCCTGAAGCCTGACCTCACGGTAAGTAAAACCGCTGAGAACACCTGAGTGGTTCCTCTGGCCTGGATTCTTTAACCAGCTGCAGTCCCCTCCTGGAAAGCGTCCTCTATGTTACTGGGAATGTTGGCATTCTGGGAAGCACTCTCAGGAGTCCTTTTCTAATAGTCATATTCCTCCCACAGCATCGAGAACACAAAAGTTAATATGCGGACTGGTGAATGAAACATATTCAAAGGAACTAGGTTTTAACACGCCTGGTTGCTGTTGCAACCTGACCACCTCATTGGGCTCCAGAGCTCGGAGCACAGTCTCATCTCCATACAAAGGCTCATCGGATCGCAGGCGAGGCCCTTTTGGCCTCTAAGGGGGCTGCTGGGCCTGGCCCGGCTCTGAAAACAGGGTAAGGAGGACTCAAAGGACGTGCTCGCTCGCGCTGTCTCTCGTCGTCCCAGTAAACGTGAACCCAAGAAGGAAATAATGTGGAAGCACAGACACAAAGAGTGCCAGGGAGGAGAGCGCATCAGCAGCGTGCACAGCAAGCTTCGGGCTGCTGAGGACAGATGCACGTGATGCTCGCACACCCGCACAACCGCACACATGCACACTCGCACACTCCACCTGCGCGGGGCCGCAGGGCTGGCAGGCCCCGGACAGGACAGGCCCCCGGGACCGGGCAGGCCTAGGGCGCAGGCAGAGGCACCGGCCCGCACCCCGACTCACCATGAACGCCGGGGCCTTAGAGGCGCGCGGCCGGAGGCTCCATGCCCAGCGAGCGGAGGGCCGGCCTCCCTCCCTCCCTCCCGGACCGCTGGCGGGCCGGCGGACGCGGCGGCTCCTCAGGCTGGCGGGGCGGGGCGGGGCGGCAGGCCGCTCAATCGCGCGCAGACGCAGCGAGGCGATCCGTGCTGCCGGCTCAGCGCGTCAGGCCTGGCTGGAACCTCCCACGGGGGCGGGGCTGGGGCGTCCCCATGGTACGGCCCCACCTGCCGTGAGCACCGGGAAACACGCGCGCCGACCGGTGGAGAGCGAGCTTCTGCCTTAAACATCACCCGAGAGCTGAGAAACGTGTTGCCAAAAGAAATTACATAAAAATATTCGCACTGGTGAGCTCTGGGTGGCGGGGTGACAGTGAGCAGTTTTTACAGGCTACCGTGGCTCCTACGGTTTTTCACAAAGTAGTAACAGGTACCTGAGTTTGAAACGTCAGGGAGCACACAAAACACTTGGAGAAGCCGACCGGGCGCCCCGGGGCTGCCGGAGGGGGACGGAAGCTGGCGGGACCGGTGAAACCTCCGGTTTTTAAAAACAGTCTTTAAACTTTGACCCTACACCGTAGGGACTATGTCGGGTCAAAATTACGTCTGGTCAGCCGCGGGCCCCACGTCCCAGGGCTGAACAAGCCCGGTCTGCGGCAACACGAGGCTCTCCCGTGACAGGGCCTCGCCCAAGGCTCCCCCAGCAGATCTCCTGGGATTCAGAACTACCAAATCGCCGGCAGACACGTCGCCATCAGAGGAAGCCTGTGACATCCGCCAGGATAAAATCAAAAGGGCAATGGTAAGTGATAGCAAAGAGGTAGAGAAGCTGGAATTCTCCTAAATCCTTGGTAGGAGTGTAAAATGGTGCAGCTTCTATAATTCAACATCCCCCTACCATACTCCCAGGAACCCACCCAAGAGAAATACGACCAGAGAGATTTGCGTGCAAACATTCACAACAGCATTGTTCACACCAACCAGAATGTCCACCAACCGCGGGGGCATGAGCAGCAAGGAAACGCCTATGAAAAGATAGAAACTGCTGAGACATGGGCCTACGTGGATGAACCTCAAAAACGCTAGGCCAGATGAAAGATGCCAGACAAGAAAATCCCATGATTCCATTTATGTGACACTTCTTAAAAAGGTAAATCTCTAGAGAGAAAGCAAATTCATGTTTGCCTGGGGGTGGGATCAACTGCAAACAGGCACGAAGGAACTTTTTTGGGTGATGAAAAATAAAACTTTGGATGTCGAACATATTTTAAAACTAGATTGCAATGATAGTTGCATAACTGTATACATTTATTAAAATCGTGGGACACTTACAATGAGTGGATCTCATGGTATATTATTTATGCCTCAAGCCATTTTTAAAAAGGAATAGGACGATAAAAGGGAAAGAGGCTGATTCTGGCTGGAAAGATTAGGGAACGCCTTAAGACAATTATCCAGAATTTGAAAATAAGGCAAAAGCAGGAGTAAGCATTATTCTTTCAATTAATTCCTGGGCCCTTTTTAGCATGGCGGCCTAAAGATTATTTAATTCTCTAGGACACTGACCCTGTGCTATTTATTACTCCATTCAAGCCCAGATACTGTGAAGTTACATACTAACTTGTAGATAATGTCCAAAAGAAAAGATAACCCCAAAGATTATGTTTTATTGTCACCAGTTTGTTCGTTGAAATCTAACCTAGCCATCTTACTCTAGTTCTTTTTGGGTTTTATGCATATATGTGTGTATAAACACACACACCCCTAATTCCTCAAATGCTCTTGGCATAAGTTTTACCATCTTACTGGTCTCCTCAAGGCGTTACATAAATCTTTGACCTATGATCATTTTAATTTTTAAAAAGGTAAAAGTCATGAGAAAAATGAGTGTTTTATGTGAAGAGAATAAAGGGACATATAACTAAGGCAATACACAAACCTGACTGAATCCTGGTTCAAAAACAGCTTGATACAACTGAGGAAATGAGAACGTGCTCTGGGGTATCAGATGCTACTATGGAATTCCCCATCATTCTCCTGGGTGTGGTAACAGTCATGGTTATGTAGGAGAATGTCTTTACTCTTAAAAGCTGTGTGCTGAAGTATTTAGCAGTAAGATATCATAATACTGCAAATGGTTCAATTTTTTTTTTAAATAAAGGCACAATGAAGTAAATATGGCAAAATGTCAACAGCTGCTCCATCTAAGTGGGGCACATTAACACATTAAATTGCCCAGGCGAGGGCAAATGCATTCGAAAGCTCCCAGGGGCATCTCTCTTGGTATTTCTGGGAAGCGGCATCAGTTAAGCTGCACCATCTCTTCAGCGTTCACAATAGTACACAATGGGCCACCCGCCTGCCTGCAGACACCACTGCTGAGTCCAAGGTCAGCCAGAAATCAGACTTACAACACAGAGTGTCCTCTCCTTACAATCACAGGCTACTACAGCTTGAAGTCATGTGTTTAACAAGCTTCTTAAGCACCCCACACATATCAGAGAGAAGGTGCTCAAAGAACTCAGTCTGCAATTACATCATGTAAATGTATTTGTGTGGATGAAATTTACACATACATAATTTGTCTCAGAGAAAGGCCTGTGAGGGCAGACATGAAACCATCAGAGACTCCTGTGACAGGGACTGTGAAGTCTCAGGGAAAAGGATTTTCCCATCTTGCATCTATCATTTGAACATTTGACAAGTGTTTTTTCATAAATTGTATTTAAAGTTTTCAAAAATAATTTTTCTTTTTTTTTTTTTTTTTTGAGATGGAGTCTCGCTGTGTCGCCCGGGCTGGAGTGCAGTGGCCGGATCTCAGCTCACTGCAAGCTCCGCCTCCTGGGTTTACGCCATTCTCCTGCCTCAGCCTCCCGAGTAGCTGGGACTACAGGCGCCCGCCACCTCGCCCAGCTAGTTTTTTGTATTTTTAGTAGAGACGGGGTTTCACCGTGTTAGCCAGGATGGTCTCGATCTCCTGACCTCGTGATCCGCCCGTCTCGGCCTCCCAAAGTGCTGGGATTACAGGCTTGAGCCACCGTGCCCGACCCAAAAATAATTTCTAAGCTAATTCAGATGACATCAAAAATCGATTTCACCAACTGCAATTTCCAACCACACTGAATTATTACTTCAGCAAGGTTGTTTTTGGGTCTGTTGCTGGCTTTTTTCTGTGCACACAAGACTGAAGGTCTAGCCATGGCAGGAGACCACAATGAGGGGTCCTGACCATGCCAGAGCTCCCATGGGATGCGTGATGTCAGCCACTGCTCCACGACCCCATGTTTCCAGAGCTCCCATGGGATGCCAGCCGCTACTCCACGACCTCACGTTTTCGGAGCGCCCACAGGATGCCAGGATGCCAGCCACTGGTCCACGATCCCACACTCCATCGTACTTCACCCTCATGAGCACAGGCAATGTGAGCACTGCCTCTGCAGAGGATACTGAGGCTGAGAGGCAAAGTCATGGGCTTAAGTCCACACGACTGAGTGTAAATGACAGAACCAAGGTGCACACTCCGGCTTTTTTTTTTTTTTTTTTTGAGATGGAGTCTTGCTCTGTCGCCCAGGCTGGAGTGCGGTGGCCTGACCTCGGCTCACTGCAAGCTCCACTTCCCGGGTTCACGCCATTCTCCTGCCTCAGCCTCCCAAGTAGCTGGGATTACAGGCGCCCGTCACCACGCCCGGCTAATTTTTTTTTTTTTTTTTTTTGTATTTTTAGTAGAGACGAGGTTTCACCGTGTTAGCCAGGATGGTCTCAATCTCCTGCTCTCGTGATCCGCCCGCCTCAACCCCATGTTCATAGGCCTGAGACCCCTCTCACCCCAGTACTGTGAAACGCTCCAGTGAAGAGCTGTGAAAGAACAAATGTGTTTCCTGTTCCTGAATTCCTATTCTTTCTGGGGAGACGCACCCGTACTACTAAACACAAGATCTGAAACAAGAGTGTTTGCACCAAAGAAAGGGTGCTCTGAACACTACCCTCTCCAACTAACAGGGAAACTTATCACTTCCACATTAGGAAAAATAAGCAAACCTTAGGAAGCACTAAGCATTACATAGGAATTTCAGTCTTTATTGTTAAAAGGCACTGGGGATAAAGAATTTATACTTCTCAGAATAAATAAACTGTTACCAGGATAACAGAAGACTAAAAGTAAAGTGCAAATTAAACAACCATGCTGCCATTTCCCCTGTAGAAACTTAAGATCGCTTCCTTCTTTCTCGCTTTTGGCATCATGTGGAAGAACCTGCTGCTTCTCTAAACCCCAACATTAATGGGGATGAATGAGGATTCGACATTTTATGGGATAATCTCCTGATAGACCTGTTCGCCACCAAAAGATCCCAGTACCATACAAACATGATATCTACCACCTTGACAAGCCAAAACTTCCAGAGTAGGTTCAGCTTTCAACTCTGGGTCACCAGCTGTATAATGTTTCCCTCTTTGCTCTGGCCACTGGAAAGCTCAGTGTAAAATTTGTAGCACTCCTCTAGGAGTTACATGAGATTCTGTGAGTTGTGTCTTGGGGCATCCACTGACCTCTGGTTTCATCATTTCCTCAACAATTTTTCTGTCATTCTACACACTTAAAAAAATTATTTTAAAGGCTGGGCGCGGTGGCTCACGCCTGTAATCCCAGCACTCTGGGAGGCTGAGGTGGGCGGATCACTTGAGGTCAGGAGTTCAAGACCAGCCTGGCCAACATGATGAAACCCTGTCTCCACTAAAAATACAAAAATTAGCCAGAAATCGCTTGAACCCAGGAGGCAGAGGTTGTAGTGAGCCGAGATCGTGCCACTGCACTCCAGTCCGGGCAACAGAACAAGACTCCATCTCAAAAAATATATATATATATTATTTTCAGTAGACGTACATAGAACGAAATACAAAAGGTACAAAAGTGTATCCAGTGGGAAGCAGGTCTCTCCTATCTCCCACATACCCGGTTTGTCTCCTCGCCAAAGAAATTCCACTATTAGCTATTTTTTAAGTATCCTTCCAAATATGGTCTCTGCATTTACAAGGATGTGCGTGTATCTTTATCCACATAGAGCACACTATACAAATGGTGATCCATCTTCTTTGTGAGGTCGGTGCAGTATTTCATGTAGGATTTCACCAATTCCCTGCCAAACATTTAGATAGCTTCCAATCACTTGTGCTGCAATCAATACCCTTATACAACTGTCATTTCACCCATATGCGAATTCATCTGTACGAGAAATTACCAGAAATGAAAATGCTGGGTCAAAAGAACCCTCAATGATTCATTAACTCATGTTAGTTTACTTTTTGAATAAACATACAGTTAGCTTTTTGGTGTATGTAATCCTATGACTTCTAAAATGTTGCCTTTAGCCACCATTATGACAATCAAGAAATAAAACAGTTCTATCACTCCCAAAACCTCCTTTGTGTTAGCCCTCGGTAGTCACACCCTACCCCACCCCTGGCACTGTGAATCTCCATCACTACAACTTTGTCTTTTCAAGTATGTGATACAAATGAAATCACAGCATGCAAGCTTTCGAGACTGACTTTCTACCTTCAGATAATGCCCGAGGTTCACCCAAGGTGTTAGGTGAGTTTATTACTGAGTCATATTTCATTGTATGGGATGTACCACCATTCATCCATTCATTGAAAGGCATTTGGGTTGTTTCCATTTCTTGAAGATTATGAAAAGAGCTGCTATAAACATGTACAGATTTTTGTGCAAACGCAAGTTTTCATTTGTCAATGGCAAATACCTAAGAGTGGGATTGCTGGGCTAACTGTAAGTATATGTTTCACCTCTAAGAAACCTCCCAACTGGTTTTCCAGAATGGCTGTACCATTGTGCATTCCCACGAGCAAGGTACCAGCTAAAACTTCCGATACGATGTTGAACAGGAATAGTAAGAGTGGACATCCTCGTCTTGTTTTCAGTGTTAAGGGAAGGCCTTCAGTCTTTCTCCATTAAGCATGTTAGCTGTAGCTGTTTCCTGTAGATGCTCTTTCTCAGGTGGGGGAAGTTCTCTTCCATTTCTTCTTTGCTGAGAGTTTTTATGAGGAATGGACACTGAATTCTATCAAATGCTTTTTCTGCACCAACTGATAGGATCATGTGGTTTTCTTTAAATTGGTAGTATGGTAGCTTACACTGATCGATTTTCAAACACTGACCCAGCTTCGTGTTCCTGGGCTAAATGTCACTTTGTCATGGTTATAACTTTTTAATACATTATGGGATTCAATTTGTTAATACTGTGTTGAGAATTTTTTGGTGTGTCTTCACAAGGGATATTTGCCTGTAGTTTTTTTGGTACTGGATTCATCTGGTTTT